TACCTATATTAATAAATTAATGCTGCTCCAATTTAAACTCTCATTTGACAATGAAATAGTTATAACAGTGTTTCCTGATATAATTAACTGTTGCAAATTCCATTTTAGAGAAGTTGGGTAGCAAAAACTCAACCACAAATTTTGTGACGTTTCAATAAAAATGTTCCACATTCATACATAAATGTTTTCAAAGAATGACTCTTAACAGTAGCAAATTGATTTAGTATAATATTGGAAAGAAATGACAATACAGTTTTCCAACTTTCATTAATGTACATCAAGACCCCTCTGACTACAATGTCAGAAATCAAGTCAGAATTTCATATACTGTTGTAATCACATACCAGATTGTTTTAACAGCCAACTGCTTCTTAATCACTATAATTCCTGCTATAAAATTTGTACTTTGTCACAGAAACATTCATTAGTATTCTATACATAAACAAGCCTGAATATTTAGTAATGTAGTCGATATAAAAATGATTTTACAATCATATATTAAACTGTTTCAGATGATAACATTGTTACATCAGATACTGCTATTCACAGAAATTTTTACAGGGAATACAAGTTCATAAAGTTGAGGAACAAGGTTCTTCAGCAATCTAGATTTAGAGAGGACAGTATCATTTTACAGTATTCTGGCTTATGTCTTTCTGCTTATATAGCTGATGAGGTGAAACCAATAATGATGGGAATTTTTCATTGTAGAAGAAATGGTGAATGGCCTAATGAAACAGATTAATGAAAAGATACAGAAACAATGAAAATTACAAAGACTTCTGCAATGCTGATTTTGTGGAACTGAAGGCAGGGCAACTGTACACTGCATTAAAGCCAAGAATATAATTGGAGTTCAATTATAAGCTTGAAATACGATAGTAAAGATGTGAGAAAACAAAAAGACAGATCCTACAGCTTAAATTTCAGAATATACTGACAATTCATCCAAAAACTGCCAAGCTGTATACAGTTCTAAAGTCCAGCAATAATTGATAAAATGTTTGTAAGTAATGAAATTTCAAAATGTTTATCTGAAAAAAAAAAGCCTTGTAAAATATTGCATTTAGATTATATGCCAAAGAGACTTGAGAAATAATTATCTGCACTATGCCTGTGGGAAATATTCCGACAGAAGCAAACTTTTAATACAGGATACAAAATTCAGTAAGCCAGAACAAGTCGTTGTCTGCCTTCCTAGCCATCACTAACAATCAAATTGAAACATTAGGACCAATAATTGATTTGGTTCAACTGAACTGGTGAATGTGTTGAAAAAATGGGACCAATTTATGCTGAGATTTTTAAGGAAAAACATAAAGAAAATCTCTATAAAGAGTTTCCACCACAGAAATCAAGACAAGCAAATTCCAACGTCATCTCACTGCTAATGATACATCACAAGAGTGCATAAATTAACCAGAAAACCAGAGATAATTTCTTGCTACAACGTAACAAAGGCTGGTGTCTAAGTAGATTATAAATGCACCAACTACCATACAGTAGATGAAGGTTTATGGTAATTTTCTTCAGTATTAATGTAAGTACACTGAATGCTTTTATTCTGTAAATTCATACAACATGAAATTTCGGGACTGTGACACTGTGTAGTCTGGTAAAAATATATCGTTTTTGAGAACCTGTTTCCTCCATCTTCTTGACAGAAGAGACTTTCGTGTCCTGAAGATGGATGCAACAAGTTCCAGCAAAATGTTGTACCTATCTACCAGGCTACATGGTGTCACATCCCAGAGGACAGTAATCTTAACACTCATGAGAACTTCAGATCTCACATACAAGAACAATTCTCATATTTCCAAAATTTCAATTTGTAAAGCAATTAGTGACACCATCCCCCCACACAGAAATCAGACTGCAAATTGCCAAGTCACAAATGAGGTTTGGTACTGTATTACACAAGATTTGGGAATAAAAGAACCTCAAACAGAGGAAAAATTTAAAAAATGAAAAGGTCAAAAAAAAAAAAAAAAAGGGAGAAGGAAACTCTATACTTATGTCATATATACAGAAAGCTAGTGTGCCTGGAGAGTACAGTGAAAGAATGTCATCCCTGCTGCAAGACTATATTAACAAAAAGTTGATGGAACCTTGAGATTCAATGATATTTAGACTGTTAATGCCCTGGAAATTTGACACAGTCGGTATTTCAAGGAACTGGAATTTTGTTAAAACTATTCCAATAATTATGGACCTATTTTTCATATATTTAATGAATCTTTCTGGAAATCGTAACAAGTAACAAATGTGATGTCAGCATAAAGAATTTCTAATATTCTACTTTTACAGTCATTATAATTATGCTCTGCTTTAAGCACACCTAAATATATATATATATACTGGCATGTCTTAATTTGTCTTGAATTCTGAGAGTATATAGTCTATATAAGATGAGGACCCTTATCCTAATACATTTTTAACAAATAAAAATATATAGCAGTCTCTCGGACTTGGCCTACAGTACAACCTGGGCACTTAGGGATTAAATGACAGACATTGTATAACTTATGCCACATGAATCCGTCACAACACACAAAACAAAAATTTAACAGTTGCCACTACTCTAGCCAAGGGTACAGCCGAAAAATTAGCATCACTGGCAGCTGGGTTTAAAGGTCAAAGTTAAAACAGAATTATGTTTAAGTGTGTTACAGGAACAATCTCTGAATAACTCTGCAAAATTTAATGTGAATCCTAATTTGTCTTAAAAGTTTAAGTGAAAGTGTAATTACTTCTATGTGTTGTGCTAAAAGAAGCAGTCGCTAAATAACTAGCCAGGGATCTGGTTGCAAGAGTTTGGGAGATTTCAAGTTGGTTTAAGGGATTAAGGACCAGTGCTGTTACCTGTATATCAAGAACTGCTCATTAAACAGTGTGTGGTAGTGCCTAGCTATAAACACTCTTATCTTTCCCGCTGACATGAGGCCTGTATGGACCCTGAGACAGAATCTCATCGCTCTAGTGTGAATGCAGTACCTATCACCTGTAGTTTCCAGTTCATCCCCCCTTTTTCCTGAAAAGTAAGCCTTTATAGTAAGCTTACTGGCACCCAGCATTCATGTAGCCCATATCCCGCAAACAATTATCTACAACAACTAAAAGGGAAGCAGAACTGGATAAGAAGGACGCAGCAGCAACCTGCAAACTCGGAGTATCAACAGGTGAGAGGGAACGGCTAGAGGAGCAGCTGCAACCAGCAACCAAGGGGCCAAAAGGACGGTAAGAGAGAAAGTAGCGCCAAACATGTAGGCAAACGTCTACAGAAAGGGAAAGTGGAGCCCAACGTGGAAGCAAATAGTTACAGAGGGAAGGTGGCACCAACGTGTAAGCAGACGGTTACAATAAAAAGGCCAACTTTCACTAGGCAAGACATATAAAAGTTCAATGTAAATGTACTATACCAGTTCTAGCTATACTGTCCTTTGTATTTTTGCTTATATGATATCTTGTTCTTTTATGCTGAAAAAAATTTCAACTTCTTTTCTTGCCAAATTCTCAAAATTCAGAACCTTGGTTCCTGCTATTTACTGTACTCACCGATCACTACTGCTATCATGGAAATTCTAAAACTACAAGAAATTCAGTGGAGATTTAAGTAATGAAGTAGACAGATAATGTTTATTTAAGTGTTCATATTCCAGTTCTGATGATAATGTTTGGGTATTTACACAAACATTAAAATAATCAGGGTGGTCACTTCTGTTTCTTGAAGAGTATAGCTTACCAGAGGATAAAAAGATTCAGAAAACAAATTGTATAAATGTAGAATTTGAAAACACAGCATTTACACACGCACATCTGTCTCTGTTTTTCATAAACAGCATTGATTTCATTTTATCCAACATGTACTATATTCTAAAATCTCAAACATATTGCTTATGCATGTCTGCTTTTGGTCCACAGAGCTTGCACTACAGTAGCTCTGTCACTCAACAAAAATTGAGTACAATATTGTAGAATTATCATAAAACCTTGAGTCATTAAATGGACTCTGTAACTTGACAGTTTGATGTAAAGCTAAATGACAGAATGAATATAAAATATTCAACCACTGAACCATTTTCATTTACAGCTAACAGATAACTTATATACAAAATAATACTTGACAGCAACATATATATTCCATTCAAATACTAACATATCTTCTCAAAGTTGGTGATAAAATTAATTATAATTGTTACATAAATCAACTAGAGAAGACTTCATTAATATGTTACTTTAAGATAAACATGCTGACTGCAAACTGATACAACTAAATTCAATTAAAAACACAATTATGTGATGTGGCAAATGAAACAGGACCTATAAGTTAGGATTTCTGAGTTTATTACTAATCAATATAGCCATTGGAAATCATCATGAACATAAAATCTGACTTGTTTTCATACATTCAGCACTCAAGTAGTTAGCTTCATTACTTGCTTTTCACATTATATTTTAACATCAAGCAGTCAATTGTCTTTTGGTTTCCAAAACCACAGGCTTCATAAGAGCACTTGAGGTAAGTAGCACAGCTGACTTGTAGTTCGAAGTATCATACCACACCCAGAATCCATACAAGTAACAAACATGCAACTGCAGAAGTGCCTACTACATTATGGGAGCCCCTGTTTCTGAATGTTGCTGCATCACCTGAAAATTTATTACAATTTAAAAATCCAAGTCTTGACTAAACTTATGAAAAGGCTGCATTGTGCTGAATCAAAAGCTCAGCAAGGAAAACTATTATTATTCAGCATTTACCCGCACATGGCCACGTGTCCATACACATGCACATTCATGTACACAGAGGTACACTTTGTGGTTACAAATGATCCACACAATTTAATATGTTTCTTAACATTTTCTGGTTGGATGTCAATATATAATCAACATGGTGACAGTGCTTCTAAGATGAATGTCGATATGTGATCAACAAAGTTTGTTTCGAGTTTCTGTGGTCATATGTCGATCATACGTCGCTAGTTGGCACTGTAAACTATACGAATGCATTCATGAACGACATTTCTGTACTGCCAGTGCTACAGCCTTCGAACACTTTACAGGAAAGAATACAAAATGCTGTTGGAAGAGTTCATCACGATATGCTACAAAATGTCTTGCAAGAAAAAAATGTGGTTTTAACTGCTATGACTGGTTTTTACATATGTGCAATATGCACTTACAATGTGTAATATATTTATGTAATCTTATGTTGCATAATTTTCTATAACTAAATTCCAAAACCTACCTACATCTTAATGGGAAGTCTGCATTGAAGTTAATGAATGCCAACAAACAAATAACGATTCAATAAGAGAAGTCATTAATTAGAATATTTTAAAGCATTTTAATTCTGTAAAAAGTACTCACCCATCTGGAAAGTAAGGGCAGGAGATGACATTCGTCCATCACCACCATTGGAGAATGCTAAAACTCGCATACGATATACCTTTCCTGGAGACAGATTGTGAATGTATGCTTCTAAACTGGAACCAACTGGGACAATGGTGTCATTAGCTGTACTCATGTCCTGGTCTATTTCCCATACACGAACCTGGAGAAAAATGTGAACATGATTAGGCAAAAAGGAGACACATGGCTCTCAAATGCATATATACACATTCCTTAGATTCCTCATAAATGCCGAAGATCATTAATTTGCTTATTTCTTACTTACAAGTACTTATGACATGTGTGCATGTACAGATACGTAGGTCATACCGAAAGTCATGAGCAACTTTTTTTTGCATGCAACCTGGGAACAGCAGACGAAAGAGAGCAGGGTGGTAGGTGGAACCAGCTGTTGTGTTAACCTTGAGTGTCTTGTTACGTCAATAGCTTGCATCACGTGACCAGTATCACTCCTAACAAAATGGCCGACAACCATATGTTGTTTCGCCGGTGTGCTGTCATTGAATTTCTTGTGAAAGAGGAAATCCCTGCTGCAGAAATTCACCAGAGACTTCAGCGTACTTATGGAAGTGTGCGCATGGGTGCGAGCAGTGTTCGAAGATGGGTGAAACATTTTAAAGATGGGAACACCAGCATCGAAGATGAGCCTCGGAGCAGTTGTCCTCGAACAGCCTCAACTGAACGCAACGAGGAAAGAGTGGATGAGATCATTCAAGATGACAGGCGTGTGACTGTGGACACAATAGCCCAAAAACTTGGAACAGGGCACAGTGCAGTACAGGAGATGATTGAAAGTTTGGGCTATAGGAAAGTTTGTGCTCGTTGGGTCCTGCGGTTATTGACCGAAGACCACAAAGGTCAGCAAAAAGCCATCACCTCAGAACTGCTGCAGAGATATTGACACGAAGACGATGATTTTTTGCTCTGTATTGTGACAAGTGACGAAAGCTGGTTTCACCATTTCGAGCCTGAAACGAAACAGTGGAGTATGGAACGGCACCATTTGCATTCTCCATCAAAAAAGAAGGCAAAGACAGTGCCATCAGCTGCATAGGTGATGGGCACAGTCTTCTGGGATGCAGAGGGGTGTATTCTGGCCGAATACCTGGAACCTGGGCAAACCATCAATTCTGCTCGTTATGTCCAGACGCTGCACAAGCTCCGTCGTGCATTCCGCAATAAACGTCCGGGATGAAACATCATCATCCGGCATGACAACACTTGACCCCACGTCGCTTGCCTCACATTGGAAGCAATTGCAAAGATGGGGTGGGAAGTTCTTCCACACCCCTCCTATAGCCCTAATCTGGCACCTTCCAACTACCATCTTTTTGGATTTGTGAAGGATCAGCTGCGTGGACAACGCTTTGAGACAAGGGAGGCAATTCAGAAAGCAGTGCGTCAGTGTCTTCGGATGGCTGGAACGGAATTTTACAAAAGGGGAATTTTCAAACTCCCAGAATGCTGGGAGAAATGTGTACAAAGAAGTGGCGATTATGTGAAAAAATAAGGAAAGGACTGTAGATTGAGGTGGTGTATTTGGTTTGTCAATAAGAAAGCATATTACTTTACAAAAAATTGTTGCTCATGACTTTCAGTACAACCCTCATAGATACACAAAAAACTCAATTGAATTTTGTGTATAATAAAATCTCAAGCTAAAAATTCCTGTAATAGCAATTGCTACATATGCCTCCTAAAATATACAGTAATCTTCAATAACCAATAAATAATTCATAAGTAGTTTACTGATATCAGAACTACGAGTTTCCTTTTTCTCTCTACCTCACACCAACTAACAGTAGAATTATATTCATTTTCCAGCTGCCATCCTGTATTCAATTAATAGTCCATCCCTTGCTAATGAAGGCAGACACATCTGCAATCATCTTGCAATACTCAAAATCTAAAATAACCCAGGTCCTGCACACCTTCAGTACACTGCTGAGAAATCACCTAGGTCTCTGAACAACAATCTTCCTTCACCTGTATCTCAACACCAACTATCATTAAATTGCTTTTTGAAATTTAGCTACACCCTTGAGGGCTATTCTCATATTCTAACTTACTACTACTGGCATCCAAAACTTCCAGTGCTGGCCACTTTAACTCATGTCGTCTAAATCTGTAGGTTCCAAGCATTTGAAATCTGGCAACCAGTGTGCAAACTATGGAATGGCTGTTGGAATCAGGTAAATGGTACAAGAAGAAACACCAAGGCACTGTATATCATCTGTAGCCTTCCTTGGCCAAGTTCATGCCAAGGAGTCAACAGGGATCCTTATAATGCCATTATTGAAATGATCAAACAAACTAGCTGTCAGAAATTGAAATTTTATTTTTCTTGCTCTAATTATCTTTCCTGAATAAATGTGGTAAAAAAACTCACTGAAGATGTCCATAAACTCTTTGGGTCACCTGTATCAAAATTACTTACTGAAGGTTATCATTAAAAGCATGTTGCCAAATATGCTTTGCTCAAAGCATTCTTGGAAAGTGACATATGCATGCACAAACATGCATAAAGAAATAAAAATAAAGTATATTAAAATCCTGAATTAAGGCTTCCAAATTAAACATGAACAAAAGATGAACAAAAATAAACATATGCAAAAAGTTAACTATGAATTCTTATGGCTTCCAAAGCCCTTACATGACATGGTGATTAAAAACGAAGTCATCTTACTGGAAATTGAACTGCAGCTGCCTGCACCTTAAGTAAACACACTACCAACTAAGTTAGAGTGGATAATCTAACAAATGTTCCTTCATTTCTGAGATACAAATATGAAGAAATGTGTGAAAAGAAAACCATGTATTACAAAGAAACAGCAGAGTGTTGACACCTAACAAGTTGACCAGGAAGTTAGAGGAAGGTCAACTACCATACTGGAAAACTGTAGACAAATCAGGTTTCAATCAACTGAGTCCCATGGATCTCTGATCCACCCTTAAAAGTTATTCTTTTGTTCCCTCCCTCTTAATATGTTCTGGATTCTTTACTTCTGAGCTTTAACATTATAACATTTCAATACGAAAACAATTTTCTACATGCACAAACATTCCTCCACATGGATCTCTTGAACTCAGAAGACTCTATGATGATAAAGAACAACATACAAAAAATGCAGCACTCTGAAGAGCAGCTCTGATGGGGAAGGAACTAGATAGCAGATAGTATCACCATATGACATCATAATGCCATGCCTCTGTTTCGTAATCCAGACCTTCCAGTTGTCACAGAGAAGGTAAAATACAATTAATGTCTATGTAATGATAATATGGAGAATCCATTATAATACCAAAGGCTACTAACAGACAAATGTTTAAACAGCAACCTAGATGCCAGGCAAGGATTATATATGTACTATAAGCCAGAGCTGAAAGTTCTTGGTATTCTTGCAACATCGAATATCATTACAGTAGAATTCTGATTTAAGATTTCTTAGTCTAAGAAATTCCCACAGTTTGGATTCATTTTTTGTGGTCCCAGTCAAGTCCAATATAGTCAATGTACAAATTTACCTGATTTAGTGTTTCTCATTTTAGTGTCTTACCCACACACAGAGAATGAAAATTCAGTCCACACACGAAATCTGTGTCCCGATTTAGTAGCATACTTAGCCAAATGGAAGATAACATTCTTTCCCTATTTTTGAAGTTACATAATAAAGTACTGTCTTCAATTTGGTCACAAAAATATATCCCCCATAAACAGAAAAGGCACTGAAGGTCATGAAGTTGTAAATGAAGACAGAAAATGTGAGAAAGAAGCTGACTTAATATTATCATGTGTCTATGTGACCACAGACAGAGTCTGGATTGGTGAATGGATTTATTGACTACTTATACACACACTTTGGCACTACAAGTACTTACAACACTATCACCAAACTACACATTTTACCCAGCTTTTTCACAGCACACACTAAGTCTTCTCAGGGCCACGCTATAGCTCAAGCGGTTAGTCGCTGGCTTCTCACTGCAGCGGCCCGGGTTCAATCCTGGGTCAGGTCAAGTGGGATTTGTGGTGGACAAAGTGGCGATGGGGCAGGTTTCTCTGAGTACTTTGGTTTCCCCTGCCAATCTTCATTCCACCAAATTTTCCATCATCATATCACTTGGGGCAGGCTACAATAGGCAATCAGTGGCTGCTGTGCTGAGTGGACTCCACCCCCCACTAAGTGAATTAAAAAAAAAAGTCTTCTCAGTATGCTTTCACGAGTTGATTTGTGGTAATGGATCTTGGAGTTTTTTCAACTTTTGTGGTCATGCCGTTTCCTGCTGTTTAACAATCAACAAATGAACTGTCTACTTAATTATAGCACCATCTCTTCTCAGCCTTCCTTGCAGAACTCAACTGAACTCACTGCTCCAGCTGTCCTGGTTAGAACTTCTCAGCATGGACCACACAGAAAACACCATTCTTTATTGTTGTGTTCATGTCTGTTGCCATAGGAACATGTTTACTGAGCTGCTACCCACAAATGGGTTGAATAACACCATTTATGACAAATCTGCTGCCCTAGCATTGGGTGTTGTTTTGTGCCTGTTACCCAGCAATAGGTCTATATGCTACATTGTTACACGTGTACCACCATTTCTTCTTTCCCGAGGCCTGTGCTTGTGATGTTTGTGACCAGTCTCACCTTCCATACCCTGGCTTGGTTTTCATGGTGTTTACTCTCCAACTGCTCTCACTGCTACTTCTTAAGGCTGCTTGTCCCAAATGGCTCCCTGATAAGGTGCCAGTTGGTTCAGGTGTACCACCATTATCCTGCTTTGTTGTGGTCGTGGCGCAAGGGCCAAGAGGGCCCACCCCCTTGTACATTCATACATTCATCATCCTGCTTTTCTGATCAGTGAGGGCAAAATTTCAAAGAGTGGTGAATGCTCCTACATCTCTGGCTCTTACTCTATTATAAGTGGTCTCTTTTGTTTTGGAGGGGCCAACCCCTCCACAATTTCCTGACATTCATTTTTTAAATCCTGATGGAAGATCAGCTATTCTTTTTGTGATCTCCAGCCCTAGGGTCTCCTTGTCTCATTAACATTTCTCTTGCTTTCCAGACATAATCACTCCTTTAGGTCTCAATTCCTTATGCCATTGTTGCATTCTGGTTATGCCAATGTCTCTTCCCAAATGTCCATCCTTTCTGGCTTCCTCTTGCAACAATGTCCTTGCCTGGTCCCTGATGACCATGTCCCTTCACCATGCCACTACTGTTCATGCGGGTCTTTCCTCTGCAGGCAGTGGCCAACATCTTCCAGGAAGCACCATTCCGTGTCCATTTCTTCAGCTGTTGGTAGTGCCTTACAGCTAGATGCTGGTCCCCTTACCACTTCTTCAGTGCTCTGACGGTTTCACTGAAGCCTCTTCTTTAGGGACCTTCTCATGCACCACTATAGACACCATCTTCATTAAGGTTGGTGCCTTACTTCCCAGACAGGCCTCTGTACCTTCTTGGCAGGCCACTGTCTCTTTTTCACCAGGTATTCATACTGGCTTCCATCCTTTCCTGACAGGTGACCATCTTGACTATTATTTCTTCTTGCATGGCCTCTGTCTAAACTTGGTTGATATCCATCTGGGAGATAAGAGTACTTTGAAGGAACTCAAACTTTTCATTATTGGCTTTTAATTCAACTTCGATCTCTTTTTGACTGGTGTGTATCCTGGCTTACAGCCTTGCCATCATTTCTTCTTGGTGAGTTCTTATTTTGGCCAACAGGTGTGCCTTCATTTGTTCCATCTCCACAGTGTGGTGATATAGCTTCTTACTGTAGTCTCCAATCCAACCACTTCTGACACCAGTTATAATGATTTAGGGTTGATTACAGATAGGGTTTGGACTGATTTACCACTTATACACATTACTCAGAACTACAAGCAGTTGCAGTGCCACTGCTGACCTCCACAATTCAAAAATTACCACAGCACCTACTAAGCCCTTTTCCAGCCTGCTGTGTCTTCACCAGCCATTCTCTGGCAACGTATTTTCAAATATTTAGTATCTTGCAAACTATGCCAGTGCCTGAATTTAATATTCAAGATAACATTTTATGTGCAGACATAGTGGGGGTCATATTAGATTAAGGTAAATACAGTGTTTACACACCATTTGAGTTTGCTCAGAGAGATCTTGATGTCTGCATGTCATCTTGTCCCCAAGTGAAACCTTAAATGGACATTTCACAGTATTTACCTTATAACCAATAAGAGGTTCTTCCTCCAAACTGGGAGCAACATAACGCCAAACAACTCGTACAGTTGAGGGATCCACTCCATATACAGATACGGCTGATGGTGGCTTCTGAGGAGCCTTCCTGAAGGTTCTTTCTGTAAAAGTGGAAAGAGAAGATCTGACATTACGGAATTCCTCAGTATTGACACAAACTTTATTTATAAATATAAAAATTTTATCTTACATATTCAGCCCCACAGCTACTTGCTCAATCATGCTATTTTACATTACAAAGAGAAGCTACACTATAACCACTATCTTCAAATGCAAAATTATAGTAACATTTGAGATGTGCTGAATACAAATAGAATACTGTGCACGGCTACTCACCCAGGAAACGTTCACTCTCGGGACCCTCTCCTGCAGAGTTGTAGGCCATTACTTTCACATAATATAGTGTGTCAGGCTGAAGACCAACTATAATGGCCCATGGACGCTGGTATCGACTCAAATAATATACTGCATCTTGCTCACTGGAACCATCCTTCCAATACTTTAGCTGAAAAGTAGCACAGGGAATTAAAACACCAGATATATTTCATTTTCTAATTCAGAAATGTCACCAAACCTTCGCTAGATTAGTGACGTAATATATAGCCAAGCAAAATAACTACTGTACTCACCCTGTAGCCAATAAGCTTTCCACGAATCTTTTCCCGAGTCTGTTCAATGGGCAGCCAGCTTACATTAAGTGCGGTAGAGTTGTATGATCTAGCAGACACTTGCACTGGAGACACCTGGGGCATATCTTCAGCACTGAATATTGTAACAACTTCTGACTCTGGCCCAGGCCCAATATCATTGATGGCCTACAAGATTAACAATCATTAATCATCTCCACTGTTAGACCAACTGAGATCTGTCATGCTGTAAAATGGCATCATTCCAACAGTGGAAGCTTTGGCTTAACTATACAAGATGTTTTTACCAATAATCATGCTAAAACAGTTATGACTCATGGTTCAAGTTGAGGGTGCTGCTTCTGAGTCCCAGCTGGAACTACCTCCCTGCCCAACATGTTTCACTGTTCCTTTCAGCTTGTTCAGGCAAATTCTGCTCTACTACCTCACAATATCATTAATTGTAATTAACTCCATGGAGCACAGTCCTTAGTCAACAGCAGCTAAGATAATCAAGAAATCACAGTATTTTATGTAATCTGAAGCATCTATCACTGCACCCTATGCTAAGCCAGATGAATCCAGTCCCTATCCTTACACCTGGTTCCTTCAAAGTCCATACTGATATTATCCTCCCGCCTGCACCTGCTTCTCCAATGTGGATGTTTCATTACACATTTTGGTTTCTGACTAAAATTTTGTATGCATTTTCATGTCTCCATGCAGGATACATGTCTTGCCAATTTCATCCTCCTTCATATGCCCACCCTAATATCTGACAAGATTATAAATTATTATGAGCCTTTATATATGGGTTTCTCAAGTTTCCTATTATTTCTTTTAACTGGGTTCATTTTTCTGACTGTACTATTACAGGAAATAAATCCACAATACCATCAAAGTATATTACCTTTTTGAATTTTCATCAATCACATGCCTCTAATTCCCTAACATATTCTATCCTTATTATACCACCTTAGGGCTATCTCTACAAAGATTAAAAGGAAACATTATGTAAATACTACATGAATTAAATCCAAGTTGTAATTATTCAGAATGACTTTATCCTAGACCTAAAATAAATAAATATAACAACACCAATGGTATGTTGAAGCTGTGGACCAACTACTGTTGTTATAATTCAGCTGTATACCATGTCCTGTCAGTCATGCAGTTGTCTCATTCATTTTTGGGGTTTGTAAACATAAAGTAGTGATTCTGGAATTTCATGCATTTCAGATAGGTATTTCAGATAGTATGCTAAGGACCCTGAGAGCTATACCAGCGGCAGCGTAGCTACTGGCAGGGCCTCCCTTGCTGGACAGGTCAAAGGGTAGGCATCAGACGAAGAGAGACACCAAAAACTGATGCCGGAAGCAGCGTCATCAGTAGCGACTTGAAGCACAGAACAAATGATGCTCGAGATGGTTCAAGTTCGTATAGCAACAGGCGTGACCAGAGTGGTTTGAACGGCTGCTGTACTGCGATGTGGAAAGCAAATGGAAAAACTACCACATTATCACTTTTCCTGGATAGTCTCTTTCCAAAAACAGAAGATCGCATTAAGTGGAGGAACTGTTTTGGAAGAGATTGTGGACCTGTCGTCTGACAGATTACTGATGAATGAATGACTAGTTCACATGCGAGTTTAATTTAGTTTTTTTACTGCTAGTGGGGTGGGACTATGTACCTTGTACTGCGGCCACTTCTGGCCTATTGTACCAGCCCCAGATGATAAGTGAAGGTGACTGTGGAGCAATTGGTGGAATGAAGATTGGCAGGGGAAACCAAAGTACTTGGAGAAAACATGCACCAGCACCACTTTGTCCATGACAAATCCCATTTGACTAGACCCGGGATCGAACCTGGGCCGCCGAGGTGGGAAGCCAGTGACTAACCGCTTGAGCTATGGCATGGCCCTAATTTAGTATTCAGTATGATGTAACATACTGTCATGATTAGGAGTGATTACAGATGGGGACTGGATTTGAGATTGTATTTACTGACCACTTTAACACATAACTCGTGACTACACTTAATTATAGCATCATCGCTGATCTCCACACTTTAAAAATCACTACAGCATATGCCAAGTCTTTTCAGTCTACTGTGTCTTCACCAGTCGTTCTCTGGCAATGGCTTCTAACAGTGGGAATTCTTCAACTGCACCAACCAAGTTTTCTCTCCACATACTTCCTTACAACTCCCTGCCAACTCACTCTGTTACAACTTCCAAACCTGTCTCGATTATAACGTCTCAGCTCAGATTGCGCAGAAAAAGCCATTCATTGTTGTAATCTTGACTGTTTCTGTGGGAACATGTTTCTTTGCTAAGGCGATACCCACCAACGGTTGCATGTACTTGCTTATTAAGAATCTGTTGCCTAGCAGCAAATGTTGTTTCGTTGTTTGTTTTGAGGTTGTTACCAAGTAATGGGTAATATGTTACAATATAGACATGGTTTGAATTGGTAATTAGATATACTGAACCCTTACAGAAGTAACTACAAGTAAATATAGTGCTATTTCTAATTCACACACTCTACAATTCAGTACAGCACACACTAAGACTTTTCAGTCCGCTGTGTCTTCCCCAGTCGCTGTCTGGTAATGGCTTCCAATGGTGGATGTTCCTCTTACTCTGGGTTCCCAAACTACCTCCGTGCCTCAGGCACCAGTTTCTAACAGCAACAGCTAACACTGAAGAAACTGCAGCAGACCTTTAACTGACTGCTCACCAACCAACTTTTCTGATTGACTTCAACAACTCTGTTCTGCCTGTAACACCTTGGCATGGACTGCATAGAAAACATGGCTCCTCATTGTTGTAGTTCAACTGTTGCTGTGGGAACATGTTTGTTTGCAAAGCTGTTGCTTAGTAATGGCTGCTGTATATTTCCTTATTCAATGGTTGTTGCTTAGCAGTGGGTCTACTTGCTACAATATATTGAATAGATATTAGTTTTAGTTGTCCTATGTGATAATAAAATATTATACATTTCAAATAGGTGCATTTGTATAGTTTAAGTGTGATCTTGATTAAAAAATTAGAAGAAACATGGGCTACCTTAATATATTCAGGAAACTATGTATGTATGATCACAAAAATATTTGAAAACTGTGACACACTCGCTGGACAGTACTATCAGTTCACATGAAACTACAGGTTAAGATTTTGGAACAGTTCCACATTCTTACATAGAAAAGAATGGAAATACCCCTCTCCGCAAATGGGGAGACGGCAATATTTAGAAGACAAACTAAATTAGAAAGTAGGAAATAGTAAGAAATAAAGTAAAACATGTATGAAGCCACTTTTAACAGTAAACACAAACCAAAAATGAAACTACAGAGCAAATTACTTAGGACAAGGTTCAAGATTGTTTGTGCATTCATGTAATCAATGGATGAAACTGATAGACCACTGAGAAATGTGACTGTAGCATCCAACTGAACTGTCAAATATATTCAGGACACTAAACTAAACATGGATATTGCAAAAGATTAGTGTACATAACATGAACCAACAGAAGTATAGATTTTGTAGGTAAAATGTATTGGCAAGCCTTCAACATAACATAAGCAGCAGCACTAAAAAAATTAGCTTCTAACATTTAAATGGCAAACTAATTACCTGCACTTTGATGTCATATTTTGTATAGTAGAATTCATGCTGTATGCGTACAACATGCATGCCAACATTTCCATATTCTTTCAGCAGTAGAGTCTGGAATTCTGTGTCATGTTCTGAACGACGCCAAAATATCTTATAGTGAATTCCTGGTCCATTTTGATCCTCTGATGTCAATGGCTACAAATGCAAAAGAAACTGACAACTTGAGATATTCACTACTGCAAGCAGTAAACTAAAAGTATAGGAGTTAATGATGAACAAAAGGCTCTATGACACTACCAATGCTCTTACCTCCCATACAATGGTCAGATCACCAATCTTGCCACCTCCTCCACCAACTTTTGCTGGTGCTCTATAAGGCCTATCTGGAGGAGTGTTGTACTGAGGAGATGGTGCAGAGGGAACTCCATATCCAAGTTCATTGCCAGCAGTAACACGAAATTCATAGATTGACCATGGAGATAGGCTGCTCTCAATAACAGCCTCTTTCCTACCTGTGTAGCGATCTATTTCTCGTGCCTCAATATCTAAAACATAATTAACATAAAAGTAACTACATGCAGAGTCAGTTGAATAGAGGAGTATTGCTGATGTTCATGATCCTTAAATTTTTTGATGGAAGACCAACTGAGGAGACATACATATGCTGACACCAGATAAACAATCTCTACTGCAATTACACTGACAATTTTCTTTTGAACACAATTTATAAATTAAAATTTTGCTTCACTTTTATTTGCCCAAATGAAAGACAACTGTTTCTCTTGTCTTCAATTATAAAATGAAAAGTCACCTTGAATCCAAAAGAAAACATATAACATATTTTTAAATGTTTTAAAGTTCATAGGGAGCTAATGTTTCTACAGTGTAATAGGCTTATATGGTAAAATTCATGCCAAACTGTGCTGTCAGCACTGCAAGTGAGAATGACACACAGAAATATGTTTTAAGATCAGGAACCAGGAGCTTGACCAAAGTAAAATGTTTTTCAAGCAACCAAAACCAGTTTCCTCAACTGCTAGTTGTTGTTTACTCCTCATATAATACAGACATTTTCCTTCATATGACGAGGCACCTCTATTCTATTAATTAACTTGCAATGTCATGGGCATCCAATACCATCTTATATTTTTATTTTGTCCACAGAACGTATAAAGTAAACATATAACTCATCAGATGTTATAAAACATCAATTTTAATCTTGTTTTATATTATAAACTTCAGTTTTATATATAAATGACCGTTGCATTTTTACAAAAAAGAATTAACTATTTTGTCATTGTATCTAATTTTACTACAGTTCAATAGTATACGTTTGTTGATTTGTATTCACCTGATGATGGCCGTTTAAGGGCCGAAACATGTAGTGAGGCATAGCTGGGTACTGACCTAGATACTCCTTAGTTGTTGTGTTGTGACGGAAAAATAAAATTATATATTGTAGCACAACAGGATGCATGAAATAAAGATCATTTAACTGGTTGTTTCTCGGTTGAGAAATACACTGGAAAGAATGCTGTACTAACCAAGGAAAAATCTGGCAAAAGTGGAGCCAGATTAGAACACCTGCCTTGCAAATCCCAAACATGTTTTACTCGACAGGAACAGGTTCTGACCACAATGGTATGGCCAGCAACTAAAATGTTAAATCTACTGCAGACAGGTTCAAGCAATTAAAGACAGTGATTATGAGAGAAGAATATACTTTTATAACTGTTTTTTGTGGGCAGTACATAATGGTCTCCTTGACCCAATGAAGCTTGGTTCCACCTGCAAGGGTATATCAGTGCTAAGAATAGGCCCTGGAGCAGTATTAATGGGACACACTTCTGAAACACCCCTTCATGATCAGAAGATCTGGTAGATTAGCAACAGTTGTTTTCCGAAGAGTGACTGTGTATATCAGAATGTTTGTTATTCCTAGGGTTTCACTGTCTTTAATTTTCGCTAACAAAGGTAATTCAGTGAACTTTAATACCACACATTTATGCCCTTATGAATCCACATTTTCTTGCTTCAGCAAAAAATTTAATCATTCTTCAGAATTTACCAACAAAAATTAAATTAAAAATATTCCTACAAAATCATGTTACCATGAGATTTGTGTGAATTTGGGAATATGTATGTGGGGTTTCAACCTACATAAATTTCATGTAAATGTGATTTCATATGAATCTGATGACATCAAGAAAGCTGAGTTTTTATTTATTTTTGTTTCCTTGATAACTTCAGAAAGGAATAAATATTGCTGTACCCATAAAATTTTCTTTTAAAACTTAATGCCACATGGTGATATATGTAATCTCACTGAACAATATTTATTTCAATCATTTTTTGATATCGTGAACATCCATTAGAATTTGTATTTGAATATTTTTTATAAATTCTTGTTTCATCATTTTATCATTGAATATTGCTTAATGGCCACAAAAAATGTCAAAAGGCACAATAAACTATATGTTAGTCATTTATGACATATCAACTTACTGTGTGTTATATTAATCCACGTGTTATTCCAATTTGTTCGGCCAGATATCAAGTATCTGTCAATGATAAGACCATTAGAGGCACCATCAGTCCAACGGATGATAGCTGATGTCTTCTTCACTTCTAAAACTTGGACACCACCTAAGAGTAAATTCATATACTAATGCATGGATTGTTTCAATTCAATTCAATTCTTTATTATTAATGTGCTGAGTCAACAGCCGCAAGGCCAATTACAGACACAGCACAGTGCAGATGAATGAATTACATTATAGACAAACTTATTAAAAGTCAAATACAAATTACAGTAAAGTACTTGGAAGAAATAATAATGAATAAAAGTAAACAAACAAATAACTGATAATTATAACAGTAAGAATACATACATACATACATAAACATAAGAAATTTGCATTAAAATTTAAACCTATGGTTAATACAGTATGGTATATTTTGTGAGAGGTGAAGAAACCCTTGAACTTTCCACATAACTTCAAGTTTAGTCTCAATAAGTTCATCATAACAGCATCACACCTTTGTTTTCCTTATTTTGTTTCATAGTCTGGCCAGGCTGAAATTTGTATGAGTACTGACTAAGTCCTTTTACCATATTCAAGTAGTTCTTGGGTTATTTACAAATGATGCAGCATCAAAGAGTAGGATAGATTTGTGAATGATGAAATGGAGAGGAAGAAGTGATTACACCCTAGTTTATGGTACCGTCTAAGCATTTACCTGAAGGGACTGCAGAAAACCATGACCTCAGTAACATAGTTGATTTATGAAACAAGATTCACACTTGATCTTTCAAACATGAAGCAAGAATGCTAACCACTTGACTGTGACATTAGGTACTGTGACATGTCAATGCAATGCCAGGCAATGGCTCGACAGATACCCAGCGATATGTTTCAACAATAGGACAAATGTTTATAGCTTGTTGCTAGGCAACAGTCAGTGCAACAATGAACTGTCAAGATAGCTAACACATGATTGGTTTTCCATGGGATCTGCGTTGCGACCATTGCTATGCAACAGCTCAGTAAACAAACCTCAACAATAGAGAGACTGTTTTCTGTGTGGTCCATGCCACGGCTATATAATGATGATCTCTCATCAGAGAGGGCACCCCACATGGACAGGACAGTAAATTTCATTTAAAAAGTAGCATCTGGTCATGAGTCCCAGCCGGGGCTCGACACCAAGACAGACAGACTGACTGAGCGTCAGTTGCAATGTGACTTTGACTTTGACCAACCAAGGTAGTGTGTTCTGAGTTCTCGGTAGGAGACAGCCATAGAAGGTTAGTCGACTTGTGAAGATATAAGGTGTGATTAGAAGACTTTATTCATGTGTAATATTTGGAGTGATCTGAAGCACTAGTTCCTGTGTTTTAATTGCATTCCCAGGAGAGGTCTAGTGTGTGTGTGTGTGTGTGTGTGTGTGTGTGTGTCTGTAACGGTGAAATATAAAGTGTGTAANCCTGTGTTTTAATTGCATTCCCAGGAGAGGTCTAGTGTGTGTGTGTGTGTGTGTTTGTGTGTGTGTGTGTGTGTGTTGGCGCGCGTGCGTGTGTGCGTGTGCGTGCGTGTGTGTGTGTGTGTGTGTGTCTGTAACGGTGAAATATAAAGTGTGTAAGTCAGTGAAAGCACTGTACTGCCTGTGTGATTAAGAAAGTTGTAACCAAAGTGCTAATAAATCCAATCATCCAAACTAGAACCCGTCATTGTTTTGCGTGTACCACCCCACACATGACAGTATTTTTTCACAGTTGCATACACGGATTAAAGACCATATACATGCATCTCAGTAGGTCCTTGCATCAGTCACAATGTCATGATATTTTTTTCTATTGTGCAATAGTTTTGACCTTAAAGCATACACAGTACGGCTGATAACGTAAATACTGTAACTCCTTTTGATTTCTTACTGTGGGGTACTTTATAATACTGTCAGTAGCCAGACTATGTAGAGCTGGCTCTGACTGTTGAAGATTATTTTCTGACAATGGAAATTTAAGACACTTAGGTCTTTTTTTGTAACTTTACAAAAATCTCCTGTCAGGTTGAAGTAAATATGGTATTTTCTCAAGAACTTTATACATGTATAAAATACCAACTGCCTTCCCCATTTTAATAACTATTGTAATTCACATAGTTTGAAATGAACAGGCTTGGAATCATAATGAATTTTTTTACTAGTACACAAATTTAAAAGAGACATGTTCAAATCTGACTTACTTGTACACTGAGATTATTTTGTCCCCTAATTATAGTTATTATTTTGTGAATGTTAACCTTGAATTCTGGATAGAAAAATGGATGTAAAACTTGGCAATAAAGTACAAAAATTTTAACTTCATTTTAAAAGCACAGCCAACTTGAAACATCACATTTAATTTAAAGCTTACCAGGTGGTCCAGGAGGTCCATGCACAAACACAGATGTTTTGCTTGAGATTCTACCAACTGCAGTTTTGATGATGCACTCATAATCTCCAGCATCTGCAAATGTTATGTTTCTGATGTCCAACATGCCGCCATCAACAGTCTGGAATATACAGCAAAAAATACTGACATTTCATTCAAAAATCTGGAAAGATATTCAAGCCAATGAAAATCCCAATAACAATTGACAACAACGACAAGAGCTATGATGGTGGAGATGGTGGTTACTGCTGCGGCTTGATGATTATGATGATAACAATAAGAACAAGGGCCCCTAACCCAGAGATGGTCTGGATATTATGGAGAGGAGAAAAATCTTGCCTCTGCCTGGAACTGAATTCTGGCCGCCCAGCCCATAGCCCATCACTAATTGATTGAGCTTTCCTGGCTCTCTCACTGAGCACATATAAACATAAAAAGTATCTGCTGTGAAAATTTAAAATTGTTTGAAAGAAACTTACAGATCGTGTATGAATGAGATCTGTATCTCGTATGCGAAGGCCATTATGTGTCCATATGTAGGCAAGGTCTAGGATTTCCTCTGACTCGGCTTGGCATCTAAGCCTCATATCATCTTCCACTGCAGTCACAATACGGGTTCTCATACGCTCAACAAACCTAGGAGCCTCTGCAAAAAAACCAATAACTTCTCAAGTAAACTCACATACATAGAGGTTATTTTATAAACTACCATGTCTAATTTTTTCCTGAAAAACTGACCAGAAACAGGGTGCATATAGCACTCAAGTACTGCCTTTGAGATGTGCTCATGCTGTGCCGAATGCTGAAATCAATAACTGGATGGTTAGAACTTGACTTGACTCTGCAGTCTGTGGTATAAATCAAAGAACAACTGAAGCTGCATGATAATTCTCATAGGTTGAACCTCTACATAGTACAGTTAATAATTCCATGGACTGGCCGCATAGTGGCACTGTTACGCACTACAGCGGATACAAGGAGCCACAAGATGGTGCCATGTCTGTTCTTCTCTTGTCCCAGCAAGAAGCAGTTGCATGCATGCAATGTGTTTGGAACGAAAGTCAATGTTGTGGAGGGCAGTTCTCTGCAAGTGGCAGAAATTGAGAATGTTGCAGTTAAGAGCAAATCTGCTAATGAAACATTTCAGATGATGAAGCAAGCATAAGGTGAAGAAGCCTTGAGCTGTAGTGCTGTGTTTAAGTGGCACAAGCGTTTTGCACAGGGGAGAGACAGTTTGGAAGATGATGAGAATATGGGTCAGCCAAGAATGGTCAGAAGTAAACTCCCAAGAAGTTGCAACGCTGGTGCGTGTCAACCACTCCCAAACAGTAGATGAAATCGCAGGAGCAGCAACAGCATGGATTAACCATAGTACTTGCTACAAAATTGTGTCTGATGACCTGAACATGTCTTGTATCACCCAGCACAGTGTTCCATGTGTCCTGACACAAGACCAACGTGACCAACACAAGCATTTGCGGTAACCTGATCGATAGTGAAGACAAAGATGGAACGTTTCTCAACTGGATCATAACAGGAGATGAAACATGGTGTTTTCTGTTTGATCCATAACTGAAGCTACAGTCAACCATCTGGAAATCACCACTGTTGCCAAGAAAGAAGACACTGCAACAGGACAGGCCAAGAGGCAAGGTAGTGCTTGAAATGTTTTTCGACTCATCTGGAATTGTTCCCATGGAACTCATCCTAGAAGAAGCAACTGTAAACAAGCACTGCTACAACAATGAGATCCTTCACCGTCTATGATATTCAATTCACTGTAAGTGTCTTGGGCTTTAGTGCAGGAAGAACTGGCTGTTGCTACATAATAACACCCCTGCACATCGCTCTGTGCTTGTCCAAGAGCAGCTGGCAAAACAAAAGGTCACCATTTTGCCACACCCTCCATACTAACCTGATCTCTTACCATGTGACCTTTTTCTTTCCCTGCTTGAAAGAAAAGCTATGTGGGCATCGATTTCAGTCAGCCAACGAGATCGTCACTGCCACAAGGGAAGCCGTGGGGGACCTTCCAGCAAATATCTTTCAGCAGTGTTTCCAGCAGCTATACCAACGTTGGCAGACTTACAGAGTGGCCAATGGTGATTGTATTGAGAGAGGAAGTGGACATGTGTAACTGTATGTGAGTACCTTGTGATACAGTGCAATAAAACCACAATGCATGAAATTACTGACTGTAGTAGTATATGTAAAAGTAATGGCAGTACCAACATTCATACATGGAAGTGAAACACAGGTCATGAGGAAAAATCATGATACAGACAGCAAAGGTGAAATTTCTTCAGGCAATAACCAGATATACAGATCATCAACACAATGTAGAAATCAGGAAGACAAACACTTTAAACCTGAAGACAAACATATAAGATTATATAAATAACCAGCTGAATAATATCTGAAAAATGGAAGGTTACCAAATACCTAAAGAAGTGTGGCAGTATCAACCACATGGAAACAGAAATCTTAGAAGAGATGGTCAACCCCAGAGTTAGGAACTGGAACAGGCCAATGAACTCAAAACTGCGTAGTTCATGAAATTTCTGTTACTCTGAATTTTGTGAGTAAGGAATTATTATTTATATATATGTTAATGAAGCTCGACAATGTTAACAAATCTTCACAAATTTAACATTTTTAACTTGACAACTGTATTAATGATCTTTCACTGTGTAAATTACCAGCTATTCCTTTTCAGTAACTCTGCCACAGTCCTCAGCTTTGATCACATTGGTTGTTTGAAGAAAGTATACTTCATAACAGTGATACTGTATTTTTGTTTCATATTGTGTACAGAATATTTTATTCAGTTTCAGCCTCACAATACATGCATAATTCTCAGATTATTACAGTGTGGTCAGCGCAACGGATTCCAACGGCCATTAATCTTAGTTTTCTAGACCAGAGCAGCTACTTTTACATTAAAGTAGCTCCTCAATTATCCCCACAAGGCTGAGTGGACTCCATTCCAGACCCACTATTTCTCAGAAAATCTGGTAGCGCTGGGAATCGAACCTGAGACTTCTGGATCTGTAGCCAGGAACTCTGACCACTAGACCAGAGGTGGTCTTATAATTATCTTAGACTCATAAATATACTGAGACTGAAACCGAATACAATATTCATATCAGTGAATTTTCTAGGGACTGCTCCCATTTACTTTAAATGATTTCACAGAAATATTACGTGGATGTATGGTTCTTTGGGAATCACTAGTTTCCACAATAATGTATATGGCCTATAATCCTTTGTACCATAGGCCTAGCAATTATAACCCCATTTCTATTTTTATCACTCACAATACACTTATGAATCTTTTTACCAGCAAATTGGAATTAAATTTGAGAAAGAAACTAGTGAAATGCTACATTTGGAGCATTGCTTTGTATGGGGCTGAAACTTGGACACTTAGGGCAGTAGATCAGAAACACCTGGAAAGCTTCGAAATGTGGTGCTGGAGAAGGATGGTGAAGATCAGTTGGATCGATTATGTGAGAAATGAAGAAGTGTTAATTAGAGTCAGTGAGCAGAGGAATATCCTACATGAAATAAGAAAACAGAAGGCTAATTGGATTGGTCATGTTTTACGCAGAAACTGACTTCTAAAAGAAGTTATTGAAGGGAAGATAGAGGGGCGGATAGAAGTGACAAGAAGACGAGGAAGAAGACGTAAGAAGATGCTGGATGACCTTGGGGACAGAAGAGGATACTGTCATTTGAAGGAGAAAGCTCTAGATTGCATCAAGTGAAGGAACTGTTTTGTAAGAGACTGTGGACCTGTCGTCTTGACAGATTACTGATGAATGAACGAATACACTTATGGGATGGGTTCTGTGATTGCATGATATTAACAGGGGGCCTGATATTCTTTACAATCCCAAAGTTCCATTCCTGATAGAGATGGTTTCAATCTGTAAGCAGGAAAATCTACACACAGATGGTCTCAGTCAGAATCAAACTCAGAAGCCTCAGAATAAGAGTCCAGTGCCTTATCGCAAGATCAGCATGTCCCCTGCTGAGAAATTAATGCCATTTCTCTTCTGCCCAGTCAAAGACCTGAATGTTCCATCACACCTCCTAAAAATATGCTGTACCATGTGGACATAAAATTCTCGTGTTACCCTAATCTATGCCATATCATAAAAGCACACTATTCCATTTTGAACTCCAGACCCTGGACAAATGCAACTTCAATATACGTGACTGACAAATTTACTGTTCACAAATGCACTGTCTAAATAATTTCACTAATGAACTCAATTGGAATATATATGAAAACACTGAAATTGGATTTATTGGTGTAAGTACAGTTCTCAAAGCTCCTTCAATAGAAACAACTGAGGCACTGAAAACTGTGTTGCAACACTTCTAGTTAATTCATACCTAAGAAACTTTAGGCAAAGAATCCAAACATTTAGGTTCTCTGAACATTATTCTCAGTAATTTTATGTATTTCTGATTTAAAATCTATATCTCATGCTTATACATGGTGCAATCCAAAAGTTCCCAAAATCTGAATTTTGCGTGCGAATGGTTAAGAGTACATTGAAATACTGCTAGGTGTCTCCCAACACACCCTTCTTGGATCAGTGTGGCAAGCGGCGTTGAGTTGAGTGGTTGGGTTTATTGTTGGTGAACATATTTCCATTGTTGTGTTTCCATGTGTTTGCGGTTTTGAGATGGCTGACCTGAGAGAGTAGTGTGCTTGTATAAAGTTTTGTTTTAAATTTGGGAAAACCTCTGCAGAAATGCACCAAATGTTGAAGCAAGCTTTTGTTGACAACAGTTTAGGCCAGACACAAACTTACAACTGCTATAAGCGTTTCAAAAATGGCCAAACATCGATGATGATGACGATGATTGTTCGGGACGGCCGTCAACTGGCACATTAGAAAAGGTGGCGAAAGTTAGGGATCTGATTCTGCAAGATCGTAGACTGCCCATCCAAGACCTCTGTAATACCTTGGGACTAAGTTATGGTACATGTCTACGAATTTTGTCAGAGGCACTGAACATGAGGAGGATTGCGGCGAAGTTTGTGCCATGACTGCTGCAAAATGAACAGAAGCAGCATTGCTTGGAAGTCTGCAGGGAACTTCAGCAACAGCTTCAAGAGGATCCAAACTTTCTTTTGAAGCTTGTCACTGGTGACGAAAGTTGGGTTTATGGTTAGGACCCTGAAAGCAAGCAGCAATCGTCGCAATGGAAGAGCCCTTCTTCACCTCGGCCAAAAAAAGCTCGACAAGTCAAGAGCAACATTAAGTCAATGTTGATCTGTTTTTTGATACTGACGGGATTGTTCATAAGGAGTTCGTCCCTCCTGGTCAGACAGTCAATAAAGAGTTCTATCACGATGTTCTAAGGCGTTTGAGGGAGAACATGAGGAGAAAACGTACAGAGAAGTGGCGCACAAATGACTGCGTACTCCACCATGACAACGCACGACCTCATACGGCTTACATTGTGCAGGAATTTTTGGCTAAAAACAAGATGGCAGTTGTTCCCCAACCACTGTACTCACCAGACTTAGCTCCACGCGACTTCTTTCTCTTCCCCAAGATGAAAATCAAGTTGAAGGGGCGAAGATTTGATACAGTTGAGGAAATTCAAGCAGAAACGCAGACGGTACTAAACACCCTAACAAAGAAAGACTTCCAGGATGCATCTGAAAAGTGGCAGAAATGCTGGGATCGGTGTATGTGCTCCCAAGGGGACTACTTTGAAGGTGATGGTGCAGAATAAGATCTAGGTAAGACGTAAGAGTTTTTATTAATATATTTCGGGAACTTTTGGATTGCACCACGTACATAGTTTTGTCACTTTTAACATCTAAAGTTTTAGCAGAAGGCTTGAAAATCAGAAACAGTATGAAGTCACTTACGTAACACAATTAGTCTCCCTTTGCTCTCATCAGATCCATAAGAATTTGATGCTGTGCACGTGTATAGGCCAGCATCATCTCGAGAAACAGGACTAACTATGAGATTACCATTTTCTAGAATATGTCGACGACCACCACCACCTGAAAATAACAATAACATTTCTTACCAATGGCAATTTACTGAACAGTTTATTAACCTCTGCTTGCTACCTGCTTCATGTTAGTTTCTTGTTTGGCTCATTCTTTCACCTGGAAGATGCAGGGAACATGTTCCTCTGAAATGTCAGGTGACTTTAAACGGACTACTCAGCATTATATTCCAGAAGACAGAACCCTTGTTCACAATATATTCAAAAGGCTTACAGCCATTATTCATCTCTCCTACAGTCAAACTGCACAAGTTCATAATCAATGGAGTTTTTCACAGTTTCTTGGATTTTGTTATTCATCTTTTACTATGTGAAGAACATCAGTGAACATCCATTCAGCACTCTTGCTTCATTGTCTGGCAAGCTAGGTATCATGTATACAAGTGCTTTTATAAGTTGAACAAGAAACTACTGATATGACTTGCACTGAGCACAAGATTCTATTAGATGCATTCTCATACTGAAATTTCACAAATTAAATCATTTCATACCAACATAATGGGAGGGAGGGAAGAACAAAGGCATTGCTAGGGCCAAATGCAAAGTCCCATTCTTAACTTTGCACTNTGTAATGTGACCCATACATGCTTGTCTGCATTTGAGTACACAGATGAAACCTCCATAAGAGGATGTGAACTAATGTTCTATCTATACAAGTCACAATCAAAAGATTAACTATGCTTAGGCCGAGCCATAGCTCAAGCGGTTATTCGCTGGCTTCCCACCGCGGCGGCCCGGGTTCTATCCCGGGTCTGGTCAAGTGCGATTTGTGGTGGACAAAGTGGCGCTGGGGCAGGTTTTCTCCAAGTACTTCGCTTTCCCCTGCCTATCTTCATTCCACTAATTGCTCCACAATCACCCTCACCTATCACCTGGGGCTGGTACAATAGGCCAGAAGTGGCCACAGTACAAGGGACTTAGTCCCACCCCATTAGCAATAAAAAAAAACTATGCCTATGTGTCACAACTTCCCAGATCATGAAATATATGCATATATTATATAATTTTAAATAAAAGTTGTGAGAAAGAAATAGAGAACATACTTGTGTTTATCTAACAAACAAAAAAATGTAATTTTTCTATTTCCTCTTTCTTACATATGACCTAATATAGAACAACAGACATTACAAAAATCACTTCGTACTCTTGTCACTGAACACAGTAGCTGTGGCTGTTAAGGTGATGTGTGAGCATTGCAGCAGTTATCAGATGTGATTTAAATCCTTGGTTGCAACTGTTTTTTTTAACTATAGTTAATGAATGTTATTCCTTCCTGAAAACTTTAGCTACTACATACTGTGACAATAAGAAGGAAAGAAACGGCATTCTATGTGAAGAATAGGTACTTCTGTCATATATTACATGTAATCACCTTCCTTAACAATTTTGAAAATATGCTATTTCAATTCCAATCTCACCTTAGGGCAGACAGGATAAATTGCCTTATGAAACATATAACAGAGCAAAGAACACTCACCAATAACGTTACCATCTTTTTTCCACACAAATTTGGGTCTTGGTGCTGCTTCAGGATTACATATTATTGTTATATTTCCGCCTTCTGCAGCATATGTTTCCAATTCAAGGGGTCGTTTCTTGAAAGAGGGTTTCAATGCTAGAACATACAAATACCAATAAATTTAAAAACTGCAGGCCATATTACACCTAATCACTTCAGGTTCACTAGTTACATGGCTGATAACATCCTTCTCAACAGTCACATTTGAATATGAACTTCAAATTCTGTCTCTGCTTAAGAATGTTCTAAACTCCATACAGCAGTCCTTCTTGAGAAACTGAGAGTCACTCAGCTAGTCAAGATATTTCCTACATTTTATGGCTTCAGAAGATTTATTATAATGTTCACAAGAGTCCACAAATGTTACCAACAGTGAGCCAGATAAACCCAACCCATATTCATCCCACTAAGAGCCAAATATCAGTTTCAAAGTTCAACTCTACACAAAAATATAAATACAGTTCAATTATATATACTGAACACATAATAAAAATTTACCAAAGAATGTATGGAAAATAAAGATCTAAGTCACGCCAAAGAAGAAACAATTAGTGAAAAAGCAATTATGATAAATTGACATAAGAATTCCAGAGAAGCTTTTTAATTACTCAACCTCAATATACACATGGGACTACTTCCAAGTCTTTAAAGAGACTGAGCAGCATTGAATAACAATAACAACTGCATACTATAAATTTAACAAGAAACAGTTTTAGAACAGTACACAAAATGAATGCAATAACATTTTCTTTCACATAATGAAACTCCAAAATGGTAAATGTGAAAGTGAAGTTGTTGTGTGCTTAATTAAATCAGCACAACACAATGAAGACATATTGGAGAGTGGAGGCATACCTCCATCATTCTTAACCTCAGGATTAGGAGAAGGTGAGTGGTTGGCATCATGCCCCAGCAACTTTATCCCTGGGGAAAATAAAACTCCCAACTGCAAGGCTAATTATTATGTGGGCTGTTCAAGTCATTTCAACTGTTTGGTGAGCCTACATAATAATCACACAAATAACACGAACATTTTATTTTAAATCTGATTTCCATTCTTCCGGAAAGAACTTAATGCTGCTCTAGCCAATGACCTGTACACCATAAATCTAAATATCTATATATGTACAGAAACCAAATGTGATATACTGGATATACACCATGCTTGTAAGAACCACAGTCACCTATGCTACCACTGTGTGGTCAAACTCAAAACAAGCAAGGCTGAACTTAGCATATTGCAAAGGATGACCTGATTGGTCATTACTAGAGCAATGAAAACAGCTCCAACAGCTGCAACTGAGGTCATCATTGGACTCCTGCCACTGCACTTGCACTTGGAGGCTGAGGCCAGAGCAGGAATTTACAAATCTACAGCAGCAATCAATGGACACCCAAATCTGAAGGTTCTGGACATGCATACATGACTCAGGGCATGAAAAAAAGAAGCCACCCTATGGATGGGGGACTGAGAGAATGATACCAAGACACGTCTGTGACAAATCTTGAACAGTCAGATTCCCTGAAAGAAGTGAATGGAAAGACGGGTTTCAACCCGACAGGAAAGGATGGCACACAGATGGCTCCAAGACCAATACAGGAACTGGGGTTGGGGGTGTATGGTTATGGCACACAGCAGCTTAGCGTCAGCCTTGGGTAATACGCCACAGCATTCTGGCATAAGTATATGCCATTAAGGCATGCGCAACTGAGAGTCTAGATAGGAACTATATAAATGAAAATATCTGAATTCTTATCAGATAGTCAAGCTGCAATTAAAGCATTTGACAATTACTAGATCAAATCAAAACTGGTTTGGTATTGCCGGTAATGAAACTGCCGATCAACTAGCAAAACTTGGAGCTGAATGTCCATTTATAGGACATGAACCAACATGTGGGCATCTCAGTAGGAGCTGCCAAACAAAGCTGTCAGGAACTGGGCAAACACAGACCGTAGAAAACAATGGGAATCCTTAACAGGACTCAAACAGGCAAAAGAACTGACACACAGACCCTCTGCCAAAAGAACCAAGGAACTATTAAATTTAAACAGAAACCAGTTATGGTGCATGGTAGGACTACTTATAGGACATTGTCACTTTTCCAGATGGGATGACAGACAATCCCATTTGCAAAAGGTGCCTACAAAAAGATGAATCAGCCACATACATCCTATGTGAGTGTGAGGCCATAGCTTACTTATGATTTTGTTACCTGGGACATTTTATGGAACCAGATGACTATCATGATGCATCTATACGAAGAATCCTGCACTTCATTCAAACTGTATGGTTGTTAAAGGGTTAAACTGGAGGAGTAATGCACAATAAATCACTAAAGGTCAGAGTGCAAGGGCCAGCAGTTAAACCCACTATTTATGTGTATGTGTGCAAGGTTTTGTGCATTTGTGTGTGTGTGTGCACATGTATGTACATCTTGAATATCTGCAAATAAGCCTATACTGCAATGTTGTATCTACAATTTCCATCAAAATGTGAAAAATACATAACATTAATTTATTTTTTCCTATGATTTAGTTCGTCATCTTTTTCTAGCCAATCCCTTCAGTATTTGCTGTGAAGTACTTACAGAGAATTCTTAACTGCGCTGATGAATACTTGGTTTTAAGAACATTTCTGGCTCGACATTGGTACATTGCCTGATCTCTTTCAGGATCTAAATACTTTATTGTCAGTACATTATCAACAATAATGTAGCGGTCACGGTCCTCATGAGGTAATTTGTTCACATCCAACATTTCTCCATTTCTGAACCATGTGTAATTTACATCAGGAATCCCAAATGCTTCGCATGTCCATGTAAGCTCTCCTTTATTATCCATATGCTTGTCTAGCAGAGGAATTGTGAAGTTTGGTTCAGCTGGAACAATTTTTTTTATAAGGATACATCATTTACGAACAGAAAAATTTATTATGGAAAGGATAAAGGCAACCAAAAATTAAGTTATTCATCTCACTCATCTTGATTAAATTTTAACTGTGCAGAGAAATATATTTCTTCAGGCAAGTGAACATCTTATGGATTACTCTCATACCTTGTATGCTAAGGATCACACTGTGTTCAATAGCTGCTTTATCATTGGTTACTCGACATACATACTCTCCCTCATCTTCCACTTGGACTTTCTGTATAATCAGTACTCGATTGTAGTTGGTAGTGATGGCACCCTTTGGCAAGCTTGCACCTCTACGAGTCCAATTGTAAGATGGTACGGGGCTAGAAATAAATAAACTTTTACAATATCTGATGATACACTTTTGCAAACTACTCAATTTATTTATTTGTTTAGTCATGTCTTATGGTACTCAATTATACAGTCAATGGCTGAGATTATGTAGCATCAAATGATAAAATGATCAGAGAATGATGAATTGGAAAGGACGTGGCGGGAAGTGATACTGGTATAATTTGAGGTACTGTCCCAGAATGTGTATGATGGAGCCAAGTAAATCTGAAAGAACTCAGCAGGAGAGCTCAGGCTGACGTGTGAATCCAAACTTGCTGTATGCAGAAGTGCTAATCACTGTATTGTGATGGTGCAACTAGTTAAATCATGATATGACTATGAATTCAAAAGAGGATATTGAGAAAAATCTGATACTGTAAAGGATTTTGGTGGTTTTGGGGAAAAATCTGTTTTGCAAGGAAGAGTCAGTAAATAGGCACAAATGGATATTAAACAAACAGTTTCTGCATCAATGAGGGCACATATTATGAGCTGTGTATGCTCTTTTTAATAAGTCAATCCAAGATGGTGCTTGGGTATAGACACATTTATAATTAAAAGCATTGTTCTCTGCACTGTACCCTCCTGCTTTTTCTTATCTGTTGGGAAGTGACAGATTTCCTCTACAAATAACACTGAAAAGCAATTTACTTTTCTGCCATAGCTCAGTGCACACACCATTCTCTTGGATTATAACAATTAATATATGTGTATTAAAATATACTTTAAAAAGTAAATATCCTAGAACAATATTGTATATAACATCTACTTACTATCCAAAAGCAACACATTCCAAACGAACCTCACGGCCTGCTACAGGAGCTTCAGGAAAAGCCTTTGGGAAATTATTTGGAAATTTCAACTGCTGGTAATTTGCTGAAAGACAGTGAAAAATTACTTTTTTGGGGGCCAAAATATATCATAAAATTTTGGAATATGGCAAACAATTCTGCAAAGTGTTACACACTATACTAACATATTTTCACAAATATACATGTATTTACTTTGAGTAGATATATGCGAAATTTATTTACAAACTAAAGAGCCTACTCACTGATACTCTTTCTTCTCATTTTAATCCACACTACATGTGCTATATTAAATGTGCCAATTCATAATATCTACACAATGTGAAACCAGACAGGTTACATTCTTATCCCATTAATGTAAATTGACAAAACACGGTTCAGCTATGTCAGCTGCTTTGATAGCAGTGACATGTCATCAGATTAAAATCAAAGAAGTTTGCTTACTGAAAAACAGATGTAGTAAACCTGCAATAATTTTTGGGAAAAAATTTTAAATGTGTGAATTACTTTCATATAGGAATTAGGAACATTCTAAACAATAGGACAATGGGTTAAGAAATAATAATTTTAAACTTGTTGTATCAAGCTCTGTATCAAAGAAAAACAACATAATGTTAACAGCTCTGAATGCTTAGAACACCATTCAAATATCAGGACGGCATGTGAACTTACGATATGGTAGGACACGCAAGGGAAAAAAGGGTCCATTGCGACCTTTGTCAGAGACTTTGCTCTGTACATTACAACTGTAGTTCCCTCGATCAATGTTCTCCAGGGCCGAAAAATAGAGGGCACCATCAAAAGATACAAACACACGTTTATCCTCTTCCACAAAATTTGGGAAGTAGTCACGGGCCCAGTAGTAGTTTACATCTGTAAAATGACACAGTAAAGCAACAAAATGAGTTAGAATGCACATAATTAACCATTGCTGATATCAAATATGCACAGCAAAGGAACGTTCAATCCTTAAACACTAGAGTCGTCAAAAGAAGTAGACTGAAGCTTCAATTCATAAGCAATTAATTGAAGTATGGTGTTTTGATAAGCAGCCAGTCTCCACAACTTACACAGTTATGTCTTATACAAGATAATGCAGACAACAGCTGAAAAGTGAAACATTTATATAACCACATCTACAAAATACTGATTACAAATATTAGCATACAGAGACTCATAAAAGAAGCTTCTTACAAGTTTTTACACATTTAATTATAGAAAAGTTCAAGTTCTTTAAAATCATATACAGTAAAACTTGGTTAGAGCAACATCGGTTTCTGCGACACCTTGTCTATTGCGTCAAATATTCAATGGTACGAACTAATTCCTCATAAAGCAACTGTTTTTATACCTTGCTTAGTACGACATGCACAAATGCATCAACCTCGTATGTAACGTCATTTTCATTCCTGAATTTCTCTGATATGGACATTGAACGTAATTTAGAAAGTGTGTATTGGGCAAGTAACAGGAAACAGATGAAGATAACTGATTACTGTACTCGTATCTAGGTACAGTAAGGCACAACAATTGATGTAATCTACTGTAATTTGGTGAGTAGGCCTACCTTTAATATACAGTACTAGTGCGGGGTGTATTGTCAGTGAAAAGCGCTGTAATATGTCTTTGATATTACACATTTGGGCAATTCCACGTTAATGTTACGTTAGTCTGTACTTAACTACGTATTTCACTAAAAAATGCAACATTTTAACTCGGTTTTTGGTACATTTTTACATGACTAACGTAAGGCTACTGTGGAAGTGCCCATTTCGGTTACAACGACATTCGTTTATAACGACACTATTTTTAGGTCCCTTTGATGACGTTATAACCAAGTTCTACTGTATATGTATATATATTGGCATGCCTGACACTCATCAGATCAACACCACAGTTTTCAAGTTGCAAAATCTCACTAATACAGTAAATCTCTGACCAAAAACAATCTTGAAATTAAAATAATTATCTGTGCTTAAGTGTTACACTGATAAACTTTGCATAAACTTTTCAAATGAGGATGCAAAACCTCCATCAAAAGCAAATCACACATTGTGCTAATAATGTTTTGGTCATAATGACTCCTACCTCCTATGTTTGAATTTATAGGTGGTGTATATGCAGTCACTTTTCCACTAATCAATCCAATCAATCCGATTGCACTGTTCCATTAATAACAGTCTTTGCGATATATTTTCTTAAAATACAAAGTTAAAAAATTTCTCATTTCTCAGACACTTAATCACATAACAAAAGCTAGTCTTTAAATTGGGTAAATACAATAATGCCCACATTTTAAAACAAAACATGCAACAACTGCAATTCGTCCGTCAAACTTATCTGACCTGGGAAATGCTGAGGAGGATCACAGTAAATCGATTTTCCCCAATTCTGATTTCCACTCTCTGGAGATCTCTTTAAGTTGAATTCCCCAATAAATCCAAAAGCAAGCTGCACGCTCTCTGATATTATTGTACCAAATTCATTTGTTGCTTTACAATGGTACGTGCCTCTGTCCTCAATCTGTATAAAAACAATTGAACATTTATTTATTAAATATATTAAAATCACCTTCAAATTAGGAGTCAAACCAAACTCATGTGAGGTAAGAAGACCATCAAGCATATTTATCATCACTTTCATGTAAAGATATACAGACAAGTTCCCTTAATTTTATCATCATTTCTAGGGCATTGGAGCCTGATGGATCGATTGGGACAGCAAGTAGGCTGAAGTTTGGACAACCAAGGATCAGGGTTTGATTCCTGGAAGAAGCAAGAAATTATCTACTCTCATAACATCCACACCGGCCTCCTCTACCATGTGTACCAGAGGCTCTTTCACGAGGAGTACAGCAGCAGGGGCATGAAGCTGACCACTCACCTCCATCTAGCGCTGAGGGCATGAATGAGATTAAGATCTGCACAACTGGCCCTTCTCGGGGTTGATGCTAGTTATCATTCTGTGCGAACACAGGGACACAGGGACACAAGTCATAAGAGTGTGGTGGACAGGGAACCAAGGAGGGTAGGAGAGAAGTCATGTGTGTGTGTGGGCAGTAGTCATGCAGTTTGGGGTAAAAAGAGCAGGAGCAGTGGAGGGAGGCTGGGACAGGAAGGCAAGACTTTGGGCTGATGGATGCTTGGAGAGGGCACAGTTGGTGGCCTAATACAGGCAGTGTGCATGGACCTATATGGTCTACAGAGAACCCACATATACAATCCTGTGTGGGATTCAAACCCTACATCACAATTCATGTTCCTAGTCACTGGTCCTTCACTGTGGTGCTTTTTAAGTTCTTGCATCTGTTTCTATGAAGGCTATTTGGAAAGTAACTTCCATTTATTTCTGGCAACAAATGTAGAAGTAGGGAAAAGCTCACACATGCGAGGTAGTATCATATGACTCACTACTTTGTAAACCATCATATAACTGATCACCTAGAGTTTGTTCTTGCCTTTACAAAGTGAGTTATGATGTGTCCTAGGATTGATAATCTTGCCAGCTGTGAAATTCATGTTATCTGCTTTCTTCGTGCTAAAAACATGAATGCTATGGAAATCCATCATGACTTACACATGGTTTACAGCCAAAATGTACAGAGTAAAGGAACTGTAAGACAATGGTGTAGAATGTTCAAAGATGGGAAGGCAAACAAATGTTCACAATGAAGAGCAAAGTGGTTAGCCTGCCATCAGTACTGAGTGATGATCTTGTATGAAATATTGACCAAAAATTTGTGAAAGACAGTGTTTCACAATTTCAGAAGTTTCGTGTAAATTTCCACAAATTTCACACACTGTTCTCTGTGAGATCATCATAGCTACGTATTCACAAGTTTTGTGCAACATGCGTTCTAAAAATGATCAGAGGTGCATACAAAACACAGAGAATGTTTTCAGCTTTGACTTTTCAGAGTGATACAGCAAAAATGACAATTAACTTCTCAGCCACACTGAATGAGTTAACAGGTGATGAAACCTGGGTTTAATTTGTGAATGCTGAAACCAATGAGCAGTCAAAGCAGTGGATGCACATACATTCACCAAACATGCCAGAAAAGTTTTGTCTGCAAGAAAGCTAATGACAACTGTTTTCTGGGACAGGAAAGGAGTGCTGATAGTGGGATTCATGCAACAAGGGACCACGAAGAAGTCAGAAGTGTATTGCAAAACACCAAAAATACTAGGTAGGCTCATTCAGAGCAAAAGGCAGGAATACTGACATCCAGTGTACAGCTCCTCCATGACACTGTCCACCTGCATACAGCCGCTAGCACTCAGGCACTGCTAGAGGATTTCAACTGGGAGTTGTTTGACCACCCTCCATACAGCCCTGATCTGACTTGGAGTGACTACCATCTATTTACCTACCTGAAGAACTGGTTGGGATCACAGCGCTACACTTATAATGAAGAGTTGATGGAAGGTGTCAAAATGTGGCTGAGCTCACAGGCAGCAGACTTCTTTGACACAGGCATACAACTCCCATATGACAAGCACCTCAATTCCAGCAGTGGCCATGCTGAGAAGTAGCTTAAGTATGTACATATTCTTGCATATAATAATTTTTCTTTCTCATGGCTTGTTTTGTTTACAGTTCACCAGAGATTGCTTTCTGAATACCCCTCGTATATGATGGTGGCAAGGTATCATGAACAGCTCTGAGAGAATCCTGTATCTCTGTTAGTTTCCAGAGTGTAACAAAATCTCAATGGCCTCTTTCACTAAGCATTTCATGTAGCCTGTAATTCTTGCTGGTACCATAGTTTCTCTGAAGTTTATTGAATGCTTTGCCTTGATGTGTTCTACAATTTCTAATGAACGTAGTTTGCTGGCAGAGTCATATGTGCTACTCTTGTTCGTTACACCTCATCTCAATGGCATAGCCTGTCTATCCAATACACATTACCATTCAACATGGGATACAGCGGCCAATACATCACTATTTGTCTCAGCCCATGCTTATCCACACAGTCCAGATTGGTACAGAGAGCAGCTTACTGCATAAATACAACATACACGACATGATACTCATCACACTAACCATTGATGATGGAGACAGAGACAGCCTCTAAAATGCAAGTCACCAATCCCACAATGTCACAGATGATCACCTTAGAGGACTTCATTAAAGCTATTAAAGCTTCAAATCAAACCATAAAAACTGTCGCAATGTAATGCTTGTAAGTGATACTGCCTTGATGTTCCACCCTTCCACATGGCCATACAGCCAACTGGCATTCAATATCACTGTTTTACTATTGTTACCTCTGTCATCTTTGCTCACACAGATCCTGCCAGCTAAGCTTCCTGATTAAGAGCAGCTGCTACTTGGACTGCATCAACATGTTTCTGCCTTTAAATATTCTGCTTCTCAACCTACTTAACTCTTTGCGGACCAGCAATTTAAATATTTAAATCACCCTGGGGACCGGCATTATTAAACCTACTATCCTAACTTGTGCACTGTTCAGTTTAAAAATTAGTATAAAATCTCCTAATTAATTTTATGAACTAAAATTTATGGAGAACACTTACCAATGCTCCTAGACATGCTTGAGGGTGTGATATTTCTGGAAACATTCCCCTTTGTGAAGTGGCATTACACAGAACTTGCAATGTATACATATTCTTTTTTTGTGAATTGTGCAAACATGGCACTGCCTAGAAGGATGCTTCCCCTTGGAATGTTCACTGTTCACAATTTTCACGAGGGTATGTTTCCGCATATCACCCGAGAGTCACCCTAGGGGGTCCACATGAGGCCTGCGTGGGGTGGAAGTTGATGGGCCCGGTCGCCCTAAGTCTGTGTCTGACTCTGGTTCTGCCGCCATCATCTGGTCTGTAGCCCAGGCCTTTGCCACATTCATCAGAAATGCTTTGTATTTCAATTTTGAACTTTTGTGATCTTTTTTAGATTTTTTGCTGTTCCCGCAATGGTCCTACCTGCATTTTCATCAGAGCTACTGTCACTTTTACTGTCTGTGGCCACAATTCTTCCTCCCCTGTCACTGCCACTGTCTGAGTCACCATCACTATGGGTCTCACAAGGCACGTAAGCTAACTCATTGGAGAAGAATTTGTCCTTGATCCATATTCCACTACTAACTACTGGCTGATACATACAACTTGAAGACAGGCAAAGCATTTTCCTTTAGAGTGGGTTAAGAAAACAGTGAGGTCATGTTACCGAATACTAACCAAACATTCTGGAGTTTTATTACACAGCTTCAAGGTGCCAGAGCAAGGTATAGTGTGTTACAACCTAACGTGTCCTAAAATCATGATATCATGCGACTGGTCCGCCATGTTTAAAAGCGAAAAGCATGATATCATGCGACCAGTCTTTAAGCTGTTAAGATTTTAATGTAAGTATTCTTTTCATTATATATCTTTTAGCTTTTCAATATTCAGTATCTTCATACCAAATTTTCATATTGCTCACTTACTTACTGACAGTCTCTCTTTAACTTCTGCAACCACCAAACAGCAATCATATCAGTCAGTTCATATGAAAGATCTGACATCAAAATATTTGTATGCTATCGTCTACCTATCATTACATGATCAATGTGACTGTGAGTCTCCCCAACCTATGGATGTTCAAACAAATTCATGAATGCCTTACTGTGGGAACTCAGTATGCTTGACAATTAGACTTTCTGATGTGACAAAGTTTACTATCTAACCCCATTAACATTCCTAGTTTCACGTAAAATCTCATTCCAAACATCTTCGTTCACACTTTTGCACTAAAAATTTTTCTGTGGTATTTAATGGAAACACATGCTCTAGTTCATCATAAAAGCTGTCCTCTGTATGACCATATTCATTTCCAGGTAAGGCATGTGCATTCAGATAAATATGACACCAAGGACTTCTTTCTACTATATACAACATTCCTTAAAAAAAAATCTTGCCCTCTTTAACTACTGTTAAGATTTCTTTATGTGCAAAAATTCCTCCTTCTAAGTGGTGATTCTCACTACATTTCCATAGAGAAATGTATAGTTAACTGTCTGCTGGTTCCATGCCATTCTTGTCCCATCTGTCCACCTACACTCCCACTGTGGCTCACATTTCACTATTATTTTCAATTAATGTGACCTACAGACTTGTAACTTTCCAAATTCCAAATGTCATGACCATTTTTATTGCTTAGGTAATGATAAAAATGTGTACAGGTAGAAGGTCCTGTATAACATTTCATAACATGCTGGCTTTTGATAGTGTACAGTTCCTGGCACCTGCCCTACATCTAAACTAAAAAATCACTACAGCAACTTGTACTGAAGTGTTCAAAAGTAAACGAGTTAAGGAAAGTTTTAAGTGTTTTAGTGTAAAGTCTTAATATGTCATGTTACCTGTCTTGGGTCATGAATGATCAGGGTTCCACCACTTAGTGTATAACGACGATCACTTAGTGGGTCTACTTTGTAAGACACTAAGCGATCATTCTCATAATCTTCCTTGAACCACTCATATGAAGGTGTTGGATAACCTCCAGCAAAACAACTGAAAACATCAATAGAATACCATACAGCAACTAAATTACATTATAAAGCATTCCACTGTTAAAAAACTGTGCATGATTATCAGTTTCCATTAGCAATTATTTCAAATCTGAAACCTGATGAATGCCTTCCATTTTTCTTGAATGATGGCTTTTGTTTTACAACACATCCTTTGTTGTTTTAGCGTACAAGCCTTACATTACACCCCAAAAATTCTGAGAGGCAACAATCACTTAACTGGTATTCTTTTTCCTGACTTTCTGACATATGGAATGTGTGAAAATACCTACCATTTTTGCAAGTACCTAGGATCAAGACAGTATTCTAACACAATTAAAAACTCTACATGTACTAGAATAAAAATTAAGGAAAATGATATATAAGACGGTGAGAGTATTTCAAAGTTCTTTTCAGATCTTACAAAATTTTATTGCCTGGGAACAGGGAATTTTAAATCCCACTGTAATTGGGGGGCTATTGGCCAGATTTTAACTCAGGATTACATTATAAAGACTAATTCGAATTGGAAAGGATGTACTCCATAACGTCAGACACACAATTCCCAGCAGCGTTCATTACAGCTTAGTAAATTCATTTGTAGCCAATTCATAGCATTTCAGAAACACAAAAACCATATAACATAATATCAACAAAATTCATATTTCCACAGCATAATAATACATAACATCAAACCTCAACAAAATGTGTGAAATGGTTTATGGAGACATATTGAAGTCCATCCATGGCCTTACATAAAGTAGACTTTGCAACTGGTAAATATGAGCAATAATTGAAATGGCCACCTGATATTATACAAACATCTCTCACATTAAATTCCAGCAAATTTTATTTTACAATAAATATAAGTCCACTTATGGTCTTAAGTAAAGTAGGCTTTGTTATGGACCAATATGGCTGAAAACTGGAATTGTCAAAAAAATATCACTGAGCCTTCCATACTGAAATATAAAAGAATCTATGAAACAGTTTATGAGATACATGGAAAGGCAAATTTATGGCCCTATTTACTGTAGTATAGGAACCGGGATAGTGTAGGTGGTATAGCAACTGGCTACAGGCTGGATGACTAAGAGGTTGGAGTTTGAGTCCTGGTAGGGTAATTATGCATTATGCCATGGCACATGGACGAATGGTGGTATACTTCTGCACATTATTAACCTTGGTATTTGGTGAAAGTGAACAGTTGACTTCTTGTCACAGCTGCTTATTGGTAAAGAACCCTCAATATCTATTGGATAAAAGACCAGGAATGCCCCAAGATGAGTCTTGACATGATTACAGGGAGGAAAATTTTAGTGGTGAGATGATTGTGTGCATGTGTGTTTATTTCATTCTGAAGAAACTGTCTTTGTATTAAAAAAACAATTTTTTAGTGTTTGAGGTTGCTGTTGCGGCATTAATTTTTCATTAAAATTTACACATTGCCCAAAAATATTGTTAGGTCTGTGCACTAATTACCATTCACCTGAAAGTTTAAATTCTTTCCATTTACCAAGTGATTGATTTTTAGAATGATAGCAGGAAATCAATTTCACTTCATTTAATTTTCAGTCTTTGTAAATTGTATTTTGCAAGCATACTTTGTGCTTTATCATGTTATTAGGGATCTGACAAGTCACTCCATTTGATTAAATTTGAAATTATGGGTCCTTAAAACAGCATAATCCAGGTTCAGATTTGGAAAGTGGCATTGCATATTGTTGGAAGATTCTTGCTTATTTCACTGTGTCCAGTTTCAGGACAAACAGTATAAAAAAATATCTATAGTCCTCCTCCTCCTCCTCTTTAAACTTTTATTGACCATATGTTGTATTGTGATAACACCTTTTACATGGTCCAGCTGGCCAGTATTGGATTTTTAAGCATTCTTATCAAAGTAAAAAAAGCAATGTGTTATGTGTGGAGGTCATGTCTGCCCATTTGTCAGTGTCTAAACTAATGTACAGGGTTTTTTTTTTCATTGTTGCATAATTCCAAGTTTTGGCCATATTGTTCCATTACAGAGCCTACTTTACTTAACCTTACTTAACTTCTTCTTGCATGTCATAAAACATTGATCAAATTTTGGTGAAACTGGGTATGAGAGATCTTTGCATAAAGTAGAGGCCATTTTAATTTCTAGAAATATTGACAGATTGCAAAGCCACATTTTTATTAGGTGATAAAAAATGATAAAGTTGTCGCTGTGCTTAACTAATTAAGCACTACACCATGAAGGTGAATGAGGGAGTGGATGTATAGATCCACATTTTCTTGACCTCGGCACTAGTTGGAGGTGAGTGGTCAGCTTTACGGCTGGCCACTTTACCTCTGGGGAAAGAGCCCCTGGTACACATTGGATAGGAGGTTGGGTGGACACCAGAGCCAGTCTGGTGGATGAGGAGAAGAGAAAACTGTTAAACAGTAAATAACTAATTTTACTCAAGCAGAATCAAGGTTTCACTGTACTCTAACTTACCTCAAAGAGACATCATTTAATATCTCTCTCTTTGATAGATCAAATACTACATCATGTGGCTGCTTGATGAAGAATGGACCTCGCGGCACTTTCAGGGGATCTTCAACATCAACACCATATTGGTATGTGCGGTCATCCACCGCCAGATAATGCAAACTGTCAATGGGTGCTTCACAGATGAAGAGAAGGGGCTCATCTCCAGCAACTTGTTCAAAGCCCCAACGTTTTAACTGGTTAGAGAAACTGTAGAAAAAAATAAGTTTGCTTAGTACAGTAAGTCACATACAGGATATCTGTAAGACGCTAAACCTTCATATATGAACTTCTGTACTTATCCATGCCTGAGGTTGTTTCAAATTTAAATGCCTAATTCTGCAGTGAGTAATTATAGAATTTGTATTTAATACATTCCTGAGCTACAATTTTTAAAATAAAACCTTGGTTGTTAAGAATGAATCAGTTCAATAATACAGCAAATTTTGAAACAATCATTTTTTCTACATGGAGTTTTGTTTATGGTCCTCTACACTTAATTCAACTAGTCATGTTTTATTAGTTTTCCCATATCTGCATTAGAGAAGTCTTTATAACATAAATGTATATGGTAGGAGAATGCTTGTATCATAACAATTGTGTGTCAACACATGGCTACATTTTTTATTTTACAAATCTGTTTTATTGATTACAAAAAGAAAATACATCATGTAAGATATGAGGTTTTCACAGCAGTTGAGGCATGAGTTTCATAAGAAGATGTGACGTTTTGTCCGCTAGTGGTCTGATTATGCATGAGTGATATGACCTATACAGACATGTTGTGAGGCATAACTCATTCCACCTTTCAATTCATATCTGATGCCAGGAGAGTTAAACTGTACTCCCTTGTGTAGCAAACTATGTAGTGATTTAGTACAGTGCAAAATTACTTGATGTTCTACTTGTTGCAACATGTGAGCTATAGTTTCTTCATGCCTTTCATTGGAGAGTCATACACCTCTAATATTCTGAAACTGACAAAGGAAGGAAGGAAATGGGCAGAAAGTAAGATACAAATTAATCTGCAACTGAGCTAATAAATGTCAATACAGTAAGCCGAGGTTCTGTTCAAAATAAAACATTCATTATGAAGAGAAATTATTACTAGTTTACAGAAGTATGTATATTAAGTGTTCTGACAAAATGGGTCATTATAAATACATACAGGTTAAAAAACAATTTAATCATCTTAAACTTTTCATGCTGTATCTTTTGACAGAAGTTTTTTTTTTTTTTTTATTTTTAAATTTTCATAGCAACTTATTACTGTCAATGTTTAAAAGCTGAAAATGACCACTAGAACTGTTGTAACACAGACACGAGAAGCCTGTCCTAACAGAACTACCATACATCAAAACCTGTCAGAGCACAGGGTTTCAGGTTAAGGCAATTTACTGTGTCCACTGCATGAAATGGATTTAAAAGTACTGTAACACTGCTTCACCTATAAACCAAGTAATCCTTATTGAAGGTAGACTGATGATCTGGGAGGAAAGCATTGTCCATGTTCACTATCTGTGAGTTATCTCCATTTAACCAATAGTCGGGGCTCTGCTGACGTGCACTTGTGTACCAACGACGATGCTGAGGATCCTGCCACAACAGTTCATTCACCAGGAACCCATGCTCATCAGGAGTATTCACACTTACCAAGTCTGCCTGATATGCCTGAAACACATTTAAAAGAATTCTTGGAATTTTGACTACAATTCATTTTTAGTGATTTAACTGGAGTTCATAGAACGGCTGTATTAATTTTGTCGTACCATTACCTGGAACTACAACTCCACAATAATAAAATGTGGTGCATCACTTTATAATTAAAATGGTACATACAATTCTAAGAAGAAGGTTCTGTGACCTGTTTCTAAACAAATACGCAGCATTTGATAGGAACACATGACACACAGTGAAACAACACAAACAGGCCTACATCAGTGTGATGTACAAAATTTTAACATACAAGGTTGGGAAAGTAAGTTTTGAGTAAGTACAGTAAAAGTAAAGTAAAGTAAAGTAAAGTATCTCTGTAAGCGGCCGTGGAGGCCCATAAGGTTGTGAGATGTTGAGGTTCCCATATTTTCTAGACAATTGGTTCACTGATGGCAGTAAGGTTGTCAGCCTTATGCAGCAGCCGCCCTTTACTCCCAAGAACATTCCAAGAATATTCCTGGTACTTCAACCTTGTGGCATAGTGCCTCAAACAACTATGGTACCGCGTGCCCCCAATAAGTTTTGAGACTCATTTTTAATTTCATGCTGGGTGATTTGGCAACACTGTTACTTGGAATGTTAGGTGATGTAACAAGACAGAACTCAGAAAGTTTTGCTAAGCTGTGTTCCATATTCATAGAATGGTAGCTCATTAGATCCTTGTGTGTCATCAGCTTCGTCCAAACATGAAAATGGAGCATGTGATGGAACAGGGAATGAACATGAAATTTTGTATTAAAACTGCAGAAATCGCCAAGTGAATCATTAGAGATGTTAAAAACAATGTATGGTGAATCTATAATAAGCAACTGTAGTGTTTTTAGTGGCACTAACGTTTCAGAGAAGGTAGAGATGATGTGTATGACGATGATAAGCAAGGTGCTCCCATAATGAAGCAAATGGAAAAAAGGCATGAAAATCAGGGAATGTGTGTGATGTGACTGCCAGTTAACTTGCAAGATGACAGCTGATCAGTTTGATGTGAGCAAAGTCATTGTTAGGAAAATTTTAATACAGGATCTAGGCATGAGAAAGTTAACAGTGCAGCTTGTGTTGTCTAACTTAATGGAGGAACAAAAGGACAGACATCTCACATTGTGCCTGAACTTGGGGGAACAACTTTAAAAAGATAATGTTTTATTTGTGTCATCACTGGTGATGAAACATGGTGTTATCAGTATGATCCTGAAGTCAAATGCCAGTCCATGGACTGCTGATTGAAGAATTCCCCTGCACCAAAGAAGCCAAGATCAAAACATTGATTGGCTTTTCGATATTAGGGGTATCATCCACTTCGAATTTGTACCTGAAGGGACTACTATTAATCTGACATTCTATGTGGTGCTGGAAAGGCTTATTGCTGCTGTGAGGCACAAGTGAGGAGAGCTATGGAGAGATCACTCATTGATTTTTCACACAACATGCTAGGACATTCTTCACTTCCAGTGTCGCAGCTTTAGCAGGAAAAGGCATCTCCACCATGGATCATCTGCTGCATTCTCCTGACTTAGCTCCACATAACTTCTGGTTGTTTCCAGAACTCAAGAGTGTGCTGAAAGGAAAGCGTTTCTCACACGTTGAGGACATTAAATCATCTGTGAAATAAAATTCTGACAGTCAATTGTGTTCAGGATTTTAAGAACTGTTTTGAACAATAACCGAAGCACTGGGAACATTAACCCGTTGCCGTGGTTCGACGTGTATGTTTCGTCAGGGATTTAAATCGTCTGGGGGGGTTCGACGTGTATGTTTCGTCCAGCTGCACACCTATGTTATAACGCCCATAATAATTGATGGTTTTGCTGTAGATTGTTAGATTTTTCGCTGGCCTGTTGTCAGTGGAACAGAGTATAAATAAGACACGACTTTATCTGCGCCTAGTCATCGTTACATATGCCTGTCTTGCAGCAAAGTTCCTGTGGCTCTGGCGAGCGGTTCCTACGTCGTAGTCTTATGAAAGGCGTGTTTTCTTTGCTTTGAAGATATAAACAACAGAGACGTGATGTGTACTGTGTTTATCATATACTATTGCCCTGAGCTGGCCACTCTAACACACTCAATTGGAATTCTTAGAATAAAGGTTGTCCATAAGTTTATTCTCGCATGATCCATTGATTTCGCACAGTACAAAGGCCCAGTTCTTAGAAAAACGCCACAATTTAAGGCAGAACACTGTGGTCACCCCCTGAGACGATACGGATGTGTGTGGGGGAGGGAAAAAGAACTCATTCCTTCATGTA